GGAACATGGTAACAAGAGACTGGGGCATGGTAATTAGGGACTGAGGGCATGGGGACACAGTAATAAGAGACCTGGTGATGAGGAACTGGGGACACGGTGACTTTTGGGGAGATTGAAACACTTCCCATGGTGTCTCAGCTCTGCAGTGTTCCCTTGTGTTGCCTTGCTCCTGCCAAGGGTCACGCGTCCAGGAAGTGGGACTTGGAAAAGTGAGCAGATCATCCCCACCATTGCTCCGAGCTCCTGTGGGGCTCTGCTGAACCTTTCCCAGATGTTCACCCTGAACAGTTTCTCCTCAGTTTTGTCTCCCACCTTTCCCTGACCTTATCCTGGCAGTCCCACATGGATTGCATGTCTCATCCTGAGTGCAGGGACACTTTGCAGTGACAGTGTGGGGGTTTCTGTCACCCACAGGCATTTTCCCAGGAAGAGCTGAGCAGGGAGTGGGACAGGTACATTGAACACATCCAAAAAAACACCAGTGATCTCCACAGGATTTTCAATTCTCTCTGGCATCTGGATAAAACCAAGGTAGGAGCCTGTACTCTGCAGTGCCTGGCTCTAGAGCTGCCCCAGTGCCACTGTGTTTGCTTATTTGCTGTTTCAAGGTTTTCCAGGATTCTGTGGCCTCACTGCCCTGGTTCTCCCTGCCCAGGTGGATCCCCTGCTTTTGCTGAAGGCAGCTCTCATCCTGCAGACGTGCCAGCGCTCTCCCCACGTCCTGGCAGGCTGCATCCTCTACAAAGGCTTGTAAGTAACCAGATATTCCCTGGAGGGTTAAATCCACCCCTTTCCAGGGCTTGGATCCTGGAGCGCATCCAGGGAGCAGAGTGAGGGCTCAAGGGTTGCTCTTGGTTATTGGCAGGAACATCGAGCTTCAGGCCAGGCAGTTCCTGTCTGTCTGTGTGTCACTAGGACTGAGTGGTTTGTGGAATCATGGGATCATGGAATGGCTTAGATTGGAAGAGATCTTAAATCCCATCCTGTTCCACCTCTTGCCATGGGCAGGGACACCTTCCACTATCCCAGCTTTCTCCAAACCTCATCCAACCTGGCCTTGGACACTTCCAGAGATCCAGGGGCAGCCACAGCTTCTCTGAGCAACCTGTGCCAGGGCCTCTCCACCCTCACAGGGAAGAATTTCTTCCTAATATCTCATCTAGCCCTGCCCTGTGACAGTTTGAATCCACTGCCCCACTGTCCTGTCACTCCAGGCCCTTCTGAACAGTCTCTCCAAGGTTATCAGTGCTCATCACCATGAAGGAGTTCAAGACTTGGGTTTTAGTAGAAATCTGCTGGTTTTGATACTCAGCAGGATGTGAGGACTGAATTTCTGAGGCTTTTTAGGGGGAAGGGACCAAGGAAAAGGGAGATGAGTGGATGTTGTGCTTTCCCAGCAGTGTTGCCTTGCAGGTGTGCATTCAGTGCAGGTGTGTCCCTCTGTCCCTGGGTCTGTCTGACCTGCTGGCCAGGAGCACTGTCTGTACTGACAGGAAGTGCACAGGGGGATGAGCCAGGATTCCTCGTGATAAATTCCAGCTTCTTTCAATCAAAGATGATTGAATGACTTCAAGGAAAGCCCCCAAGGTGGCTTTGAAAGACAGGAGGTGGGGAATTCCGAGAATCCCTTGGCAGCAGCACTCAAGTGCCATTTTTCTTTGGCATGAACTGTTCCAGTGACACCTTTTACGAGCACTGGAAAAGTGCCACAGGGAGAGCATCTGCCAGGGAGTGACCTCATAGCTGCAGGCAGGACACTGGAGTGAGTCACTGCAGCACCTGAGAGTGCAGAGACCTGGACATTTGACTTGAGGAGGGACTTGGGAGCCTTGTCCTGCACCAGGGTGTGTCACCTTGTGTCTCTGGTCTGTCTGGTAGAGATATTTTGTCACCAAATGTCATATCAGAGTTCTCTGAACTGGTGGTCTCTAAGTTCCCTCTCAAGCCAAACCGTTCTGTGCTTCTCTGACTTTGCTTTGTCCTTTCAGGATTGTGAGCACCCAGCTGCCACCTCCACTCACTGCCAAAGTCCTCCTGCAGGGCAGCGAGTCCCAAGGCCAGGTATGGTACTGAACACATTCCCTGCAAGCAGATTCCTGTAAGGGATGTGGTGTGGGAGCTCTTGTCACACAGATTTGGCATGTGTCACCATGGGGAAAGACAAATATTGGTGCTGATGCTTAAAGCTTTTATTAATTATGACTGAAAAAGATTCCAAGATTTCTGTGCTAGGAATTA